CTAGGTTCGCAGGCCCTATTATAAATTTTGAAATTCAGAAATTTTCCTAATTCCAAATACATTATGAAATAAAAAATTCTAGGTTCGCAGGCCCTATTATAAATTTTGAAATTCAGAAATTTTCCTAATTCCAAATACATTATGAAATAAAAAATTCTAGGTTCGCAGGCCCTATTATAAATTTTGAAATTCAGAAATTTTCCTAATTCCAAATACATTATGAAATAAAAAGTTCTAGGTTCGCAGGCCCTATTATAAATTTTGAAATTCAGAAATTTTCCTAATTCCAAATACATTATGAAATAAAAAATTCTAGGTTCGCAGGCCATATTATAAATTTTGAAATTCAGAAATTTTCCTAATTCCAAATACATTATGAAATAAAAAATTCTAGGTTCGCAGGCCCTATTATAAATTTTGAAATTCAGAAATTTTCCTAATTCCAAATACATTATGAAATAAAAAATTCTAGGTTCGCAGGCCCTATTATAAATTTTGAAATTCAGAAATTTTCCTAATTCCAAATACATTATGAAATAAAAAATTCTAGGTTCGCAGGCCCTATTATAAATTTTGAAATTCAGAAATTTTCCTAATTCCAAATACATTATGAAATAAAAAATTCTAGGTTCGCAGGCCCTATTATAAATTTTGAAATTCAGAAATTTTCCTAATTCAAAATACATCAGAGATATAAAAAATTCTAGGTTCGCAGGCCCTATTATAAATTTTGAAATTCAGAAATTTTCCTAATTCCAAATACATTATGAAATAAAAAATTCTAGGTTCGCAGGCCCTATTATAAATTTTGAAATTCAGAAATTTTCCTAATTCCAAATACATTATGAAATAAAAAATTCTAGGTTCGCAGGCCCTATTATAAATTTTGAAATTCAGAAATTTTCCTAATTCCAAATACATTATGAAATAAAAAATTCTAGGTTCGCAGGCCCTATTATAAATTTTGAAATTCAGAAATTTTCCTAATTCCAAATACATTATGAAATAAAAAATTCTAGGTTCGCAGGCCATATTATAAATTTTGAAATTCAGAAATTTTCCTAATTCCAAATACATTATGAAATAAAAAATTCTAGGTTCGCAGGCCATATTATAAATTTTGAAATTCAGAAATTTTCCTAATTCCAAATACATTATGAAATAAAAAATTCTAGGTTCGCAGGCCCTATTATAAATTTTGAAATTCAGAAATTTTCCTAATTCCAAATACATTATGAAATAAAAAATTCTAGGTTCGCAGGCCCTATTATAAATTTTGAAATTCAGAAATTTTCCTAATTCCAAATACATTATGAAATAAAAAATTCTAGGTTCGCAGGCCCTATTATAAATTTTGAAATTCAGAAATTTTCCTAATTCCAAATACATTATGAAATAAAAAATTCTAGGTTCGCAGGCCCTATTATAAATTTTGAAATTCAGAAATTTTCCTAATTCCAAATACATTATGAAATAAAAAATTCTAGGTTCGCAGGCCCTATTATAAATTTTGAAATTCAGAAATTTTCCTAATTCCAAATACATTATGAAATAAAAAGTTCTAGGTTCGCAGGCCCTATTATAAATTTTGAAATTCAGAAATTTTCCTAATTCCAAATACATTATGAAATAAAAAATTCTAGGTTCGCAGGCCCTATTATAAATTTTGAAATTCAGAAATTTTCCTAATTCCAAATACATTATGAAATAAAAAATTCTAGGTTCGCAGGCCCTATTATAAATTTTGAAATTCAGAAATTTTCCTAATTCCAAATACATTATGAAATAAAAAATTCTAGGTTCGCAGGCCCTATTATAAATTTTGAAATTCAGAAATTTTCCTAATTCCAAATACATTATGAAATAAAAAATTCTAGGTTCGCAGGCCATATTATAAATTTTGAAATTCAGAAATTTTCCTAATTCCAAATACATTATGAAATAAAAAATTCTAGGTTCGCAGGCCATATTATAAATTTTGAAATTCAGAAATTTTCCTAATTCCAAATACATTATGAAATAAAAAATTCTAGGTTCGCAGGCCATATTATAAATTTTAAAATTCAGAAATTTTCCTAATTCCAAATACATTATGAAATAAAAAATTCTAGGTTCGCAGGCCATATTATAAATTTTGAAATTCAGAAATTTTCCTAATTCCAAATACATTATGAAATAAAAAATTCTAGGTTCGCAGGCCATATTATAAATTTTGAAATTCAGAAATTTTCCTAATTCCAAATACATTATGAAATAAAAAATTCTAGGTTCGCAGGCCCTATTATAAATTTTGAAATTCAGAAATTTTCCTAATTCCAAATACATTATGAAATAAAAAATTCTAGGTTCGCTAACCCCTATTATAAATTTTGAAATTCAGAAATTTTCCTAATTCCAAATACATCAGAGATATAAAAAATTCTAGGTTCGCTAACCCCTATTATAAATTTTGAAATTCAGAAATTTTCCTAATTCCAAATACATCAGAGATATAAAAAATTCTAGGTTCGCTAACCCCTATTATAAATTTTGAAATTCAGAAATTTTCCTAATTCCAAATACATTATGAAATAAAAAATTCTAGGTTCGCAGGCCCTATTATAAATTTTGAAATTCAGAAATTTTCCTAATTCCAAATACATTATGAAATAAAAAATTCTAGGTTCGCAGGCCATATTATAAATTTTGAAATTCAGAAATTTTCCTAATTCCAAATACATTATGAAATAAAAAATTCTAGGTTCGCAGGCCCTATTATAAATTTTGAAATTCAGAAATTTTCCTAATTCCAAATACATTATGAAATAAAAAATTCTAGGTTCGCAGGCCCTATTATAAATTTTGAAATTCAGAAATTTTCCTAATTCCAAATACATTATGAAATAAAAAATTCTAGGTTCGCTAACCCCTATTATAAATTTTGAAATTCAGAAATTTTCCTAATTCCAAATACATTATGAAATAAAAAATTCTAGGTTCGCAGGCCATATTATAAATTTTGAAATTCAGAAATTTTCCTAATTCCAAATACATTATGAAATAAAAAATTCTAGGTTCGCAGGCCCTATTATAAATTTTGAAATTCAGAAATTTTCCTAATTCCAAATACATTATGAAATAAAAAATTCTAGGTTCGCAGGCCCTATTATAAATTTTGAAATTCAGAAATTTTCCTAATTCCAAATACATTATGAAATAAAAAATTCTAGGTTCGCAGGCCATATTATAAATTTTGAAATTCAGAAATTTTCCTAATTCCAAATACATCAGAGATATAAAAAATTCTAGGTTCGCTAACCCCTATTATAAATTTTGAAATTCAGAAATTTTCCTAATTCCAAATACATCAGAGATATAAAAAATTCTAGGTTCGCTAACCCCTATTATAAATTTTGAAATTCAGAAATTTTCCTAATTCCAAATACATTATGAAATAAAAAATTCTAGGTTCGCAGGCCCTATTATAAATTTTGAAATTCAGAAATTTTCCTAATTCCAAATACATTATGAAATAAAAAATTCTAGGTTCGCAGGCCCTATTATAAATTTTGAAATTCAGAAATTTTCCTAATTCCAAATACATTATGAAATAAAAAATTCTAGGTTCGCAGGCCCTATTATAAATTTTGAAATTCAGAAATTTTCCTAATTCCAAATACATCAGAGATATAAAAAATTCTAGGTTCGCAGGCCATATTATAAATTTTGAAATTCAGAAATTTTCCTAATTCCAAATACATCAGAGATATAAAAAATTCTAGGTTCGCTAACCCCTATTATAAATTTTGAAATTCAGAAATTTTCCTAATTCCAAATACATCAGAGATATAAAAAATTCTAGGTTCGCTAACCCCTATTATAAATTTTGAAATTCAGAAATTTTCCTAATTCCAAATACATTATGAAATAAAAAATTCTAGGTTCGCAGGCCCTATTATAAATTTTGAAATTCAGAAATTTTCCTAATTCCAAATACATCAGAGATATAAAAAATTCTAGGTTCGCTAACCCCTATTATAAATTTTGAAATTCAGAAATTTTCCTAATTCCAAATACATTATGAAATAAAAAATTCTAGGTTCGCAGGCCCTATTATAAATTTTGAAATTCAGAAATTTTCCTAATTCCAAATACATTATGAAATAAAAAATTCTAGGTTCGCAGGCCCTATTATAAATTTTGAAATTCAGAAATTTTCCTAATTCCAAATACATTATGAAATAAAAAATTCTAGGTTCGCAGGCCCTATTATAAATTTTGAAATTCAGAAATTTTCCTAATTCCAAATACATTATGAAATAAAAAATTCTAGGTTCGCAGGCCCTATTATAAATTTTGAAATTCAGAAATTTTCCTAATTCCAAATACATCAGAGATATAAAAAATTCTAGGTTCGCAGGCCATATTATAAATTTTGAAATTCAGAAATTTTCCTAATTCCAAATACATCAGAGATATAAAAAATTCTAGGTTCGCTAACCCCTATTATAAATTTTGAAATTCAGAAATTTTCCTAATTCCAAATACATTATGAAATAAAAAATTCTAGGTTCGCAGGCCATATTATAAATTTTGAAATTCAGAAATTTTCCTAATTCCAAATACATTATGAAATAAAAAATTCTAGGTTCGCAGGCCCTATTATAAATTTTGAAATTCAGAAATTTTCCTAATTCCAAATACATTATGAAATAAAAAATTCTAGGTTCGCAGGCCCTATTATAAATTTTGAAATTCAGAAATTTTCCTAATTCCAAATACATTATGAAATAAAAAATTCTAGTGTCGCAAGTGAAGTGATCGAGTCACTTCAATTCTAACTATCGAGTTTAATAATCTTAGTAGAATGCCTATTCATTATATAAATAAAACTAAAAAATTTAAACAAAATAAATTGCCAAAATAAAATATTTAATATATTTTAATATTAAAATCAAATTATCCGTTGCTGTCTTTCAAAATTCCAAAAATATAATTTTTAAAAGGCTCCATCCTCTCATTTACTTTACACGAAACATTCCTGTCGGTGTATTAATCTTCTCAACATAATTAGCTGGCAACATTCCCCATAACAATGTTTTCTGTACTGTTCCGGTTAACCTAAAAATAATTTTAAACTTTTTGAAAGCAACTTATTTACAAATTTAAACTTGAGTTAGCTAATGATTAGAGTTATCGGTCTAAAACAATAAGTATGTAAGATTTCAGATTTTCGGTTTAGTATATCAGTTAACCGAAGAATTTAATAAACCGACAATTCTACTTTAAGATTCAAAGTCAGCGCGGTTGGGAACCGTTGCTTATTTTGTGGTGCCTTTGTGGTGCCTTAGTGGTGCCTATAACCTGTTGGAATACTCTAAGCTTTCTTAGTCCAATTTTGCCCCCTTCCCATTTCTATCTGAATCAAAAATGTTTGGTATTTCACGAGCATAATTTAAGCTGAGGCTTTTACAATTTAAAATTGAGGTTTTTTGTAATTATTGTTAAAGTCTTAAAACTTTAGCAAAACCTTTTCTTAAAAAACTTTTTAAAAAATTTCAAATAAAACTGACCAGCCATCATCCACTTTTTGGCAATTAACAATAACATCTCCCTCCTTAAAGCTGACCTAAAAAATGAATTTATATTTTAAATTTTTTTCAAATTTCCTCCTCACTTCATCTTTATCCGCAGCTGTATAATCATAAAGAGCTTTAACAGTAAACCCTCCCGTCGCAGCCTTTCCTCCAGGGGCTTTTCCACCACCTGCAGGCCCAGTAGCGTTTATTTGTTTGGTTGGTTGTTCTGCTAAACTTTTAAATATTCTTTTAAATAAAATTTAGTTTCATACCGCTCATAGGGTCATAATCTGCAATTGAACCGACAGGTTTTTTCTCGGTTGGGGAAACTGAAAGAAAAAAATTTTTGAAAATTAAATCTTTAATTTAAATATAATTGAAGTTCACTACTTTACGTACACCGAATTCTAAATATACCCATTTTAACAGCAATTTTAAAATTTGACTACTTTGTCGATAATTATACATATTTTTATATTTGCAGCCCCTATCAAGAGGTCCAGCTGTATTCTTTAAGAAATATCTAAGCATTTTAACTAGGGTTGCCGTTTTCAGCCGAGGTTCGGTGCATATTTTTCGAGCTTGATTTTTTTCGATTCGGTTCGTTTTCGAGCCTTTCGAACTGAAAAGCCTCTGCTCGCTCAATCTTTCGAGTTTCGGGTCGAGCGAGCTGACAACCCCAATTTTAACCTAGTAGCAAGACTATTTTAAGCCCTAATAAATTTTTTCTAACAGCAAGACTGAATTTTTGTAAGAATTTTTGTTGGGAAAACTGGAATAGTAATTAATTTTATAACAAACAAAGCATGGTCTAATTAGGCAAACTAGGATAACGCTTAAGGAAAAATACAAGAACACTCGTATTAATTTTAAAAAACAGCAAAACAACTCAAAAATTAATTAAAAGACCAAAACAAAAACACACCCCTTCCACCCATTTCTGTTGAATAAACAATAGTTCCGTGTGTTTGTTGCATTAACCTTTGGGTATATGGAGATATTCCATCATTTTCTTTATTTTTCTTTTTTGCATCCACAGCAGCTAATAACCCATAAACATTAAAGGAAGCTGCTGGATTTCCATTATTATTGCTAGTTTCGTTTCCATTATTTATTTGTTGCTATTTTTAAAAAAATATTTAATGAAAAATAAAATAAAATTAGTCTAAAAACCCAAAAGGGTTGAAAATTATTTTTAAGAATTTACGTGAAAATCCAATTAAAAATATTTTTAATTTTAATAACAGAGGAGGGTTCCCAAATTCATGGAGTTCCCCAAAAGAAATTAACTAACAAATAAGTGGCGAGTCAACCTGAGGTAAAAAATTTGGGAAAAATAGCCAATTAGAAAAACAAAGGGTAATCTAAGGTTTAGGGTTCATTTATTTCTTCCAAGTTTTTTCCTTATCATGTACAAAATAGTCAAACTTTCTTCCTTCGTTAATTTCACTCTATTCTCTCTGTAGCATATTCAATAACACTAATAAAAAGATTAATTTGAGGAAGTCTAACCATTCTGTACATGATAAGGAAAAACTTAGGCAAAAGGGAAACCTTAAACCTTAGTTTACCCAAAACAAGTCGTTAGAAAACTATTTGAACTCACATAATTTAAATGCAAATGTGTAGTATTGAATGGTTGTGAAGAAGAATGTGTAGAAATAGACTCCATAGAATTAGAATTGTAAACTTTGTGGGAAGGCTCATAAGCAGGTGCTGGTTGAATATTGGCTGTCGCTGCTGTTGCAAAGAAAGCTTTAAAAAACAAACCAAACAAAATTAATTTTTAATGAAGCAAAAATAAAAAAAGTTTGTTAGCAAAATAAACGAAAAATGGGGGTAAAAGAAAAGCATTTTTAGAACATTACAATTGCAAATATTTTTGTATTTTCAATCCAAATCTATTGATATCCCCCTTAATCCCTCCAAATCTTTTAATATCTCCATTATCACCCAAATCACTCTTACTCCCATACTGAGAAGAATAAAAATGTCTGGCGGGGGTAGGTTGGTGTAGTAGTATGTAGTAGAGATCGACCTGGGCATGGACCAAGGCCTGGGTTTTTCCTGTACCAAGAGTCCAGGCACGGGCATTTTTTGACCTTCCTGGGGTTTTCCTGGGCTTGGGTTTTTCTTGGACTACAGGCCCAGTATCCGGCCCATGTCAATAAATTGAACCTGGAACTCAGGAACAGGCCCAGACTTTTCAAAAAACTCGATCTATACATAGTAGTAGAATTGAGGGATTCGTTCTCTAACGGATTGGCCGAACACGTTACAAACATTTTTTGAAAATTATTTTTCAATTTATTAAAATCAAAACGCTACCCGCTGCTGCAGCAGCCGCAGGGTTTGGGCTTTCCCCGCCGGAGCGGTGAGCGTCCTGATCAACTTTCTTTTGGTGTTCTCCGTGGTAATGTGCCAATGACTGGACTTTTGTGTTGTCCAATAAACGTTTCATTTCTGGATCATCGGCAACCTCAATTTTTGTTCCACGCATTTTTTCGAATTGTTCGTGGTATTGGACCTTTAGAAAATTTTTAATTTTAGAGGTAAATCCCTTTCAAATCCTCTTCTCACCGCGGACTGATTTTTAGTGTTAATCCGCACTCTTTCCATTTCTGGAGTGTCAATAACTGCTGAAGGCACTGTCTTTGGGTAATGAGCCTTTAAATAAATTAATTTAGTGATAGTAAAATTAAGAATAATTTACTTCACAATAAGGCTTCTTTTCATATCCCTTATATGTTTTCATTGAAAGAGTCATTCCACAAGCTTAAAAGTTGAAAAAAATTAAGAAATTATAACGTTTATTTTTTAATTGGAAGGGGAAGGTATTTATTAGTGCTTCACCGGAACCGATATACTGACTGGAACAGGATCCAATTTAGTTCCGGTTATCGGAACCGCAACCAAAAAATTCCAGAACCGGAAAATTCCGGCGAAATTCTAGTATTTATTAGGGGGTGTTCACTAACGGTTATTAACCGACACTCACGGCCTACAGTTAATCCAATTTAAGAACTTCGATTTCGGTTAAGATTTTAGTTAAGATAACGCTTTTATTTTGGGAGAATTTTCGAAAATTTTATAAACGAGATTAATTGTTGGCAAGAAATATCAAAATTTTAGGTTTCAGAACCGAGTCGTGTCCAGCTCATTTCAAATTTATTTTACAGCCAACTTTACAAACTTAATTTTATTTTCTAAAACTAAAGTTTAAGCTTGCCGTTTCGTGTTTCTTAATTTAAAATTTGCTTCACAATTTAAAAAAAACCCTACCAGTACATTTAAAGCAACCTTTGTGCCACACCTAAAAAATTTTTTTAATCCCATTCAAAATTTAATTTTTTTTAATGTTTTACTTTATCCAAACATTTAAGCTCTTCAATTGGATAAACAGTTTTTCCACACTCTTCTCGAGCACACTTTGCTGCCATTTTTAGAAACAAAAATAAATATATATGGAGTAAATAAAAAATAAATTGGAGTAAATAAAATAATATTTTATATTATTTATTAAGACACCTTACTAAAATATGTACAAGAAAATGTAAATATAAAAATAAAGCAAAAAAGAAAAAAATAAATAAATTAAAAATAAATTTAAAAGAAAAAACTACACTTTAATTAATTATTGGCAACAATCTCCACATTTTATAAAATTTAAACGAAAACTATTAGTAAATTAAAAAAATCTTTTTTAATTTAAATATAAAGCTTGGAGAGAGTAATTTTAAAAGAAAATTAAAAAATAAAAGAAAAACCCTTTACTTATATAAATGAATGGATGACTCATAAAATAAGCAAACACCGAAAAAGGTTAAAAGAAGTAAAGTAATGATGGGTGGAGGAAAACTGCGTTCCTTAGATCAATAACAAATTAGTAAATTAGGGGAAAGATTAGAAAAGTTTAAAAAAAAATTTTTTTGAAACATTAAAAATTAAAAATTAAATTAGTGAGGGTAATAGTTCGGTTCGTACCCCCCCTTTTTTTTCCTTCCTAAAAATATTTAAAAATGGTCAGTGAGACTTAGATCAGAACTCATCGAGCTGTGACAAATGACACCAAAATCAACCCCAGGTCTTAACTTTGGGCCGAGATACAGACAAAAACCCTGCGCAAAAGGATTTTTCAAAAGCATCTCACGACTACAATAGGATTACTTTATGTCATAACTTTGTCAAATCTTGTTCAATTAAGTTGATTTTAATGTCATTCGAATCAGCTTGACAAGCTCTTTCGATTGAGCTATTATTTGTTTAACCGAATTTCTAGCCAAAAAAATGAGCTTGGTCTACCCTTTTATTTTTTAATTTTCGGAGGTCTGTATCTCGGCCCAAAGTTAAGACCTGGGTTTGATTTTGGTGTCATCCGACTCAGCTCGTCGAGTTCTATAACATAAGACTGACTGACCATTTCGGAATACTTTTAGGAAGGAAAAAGGAGGGGGGGGGTACGAACCGAACTATTACCTTAGTGAGGCTTTTACAAAAACTTTGTCTACGGGAGAGGGTTCCCATTGTTTGGAAAAATTAAAAAAAACAAGTAAAACAAGTTTATAAATAATTAAAAATATGTTGATAAATTTAAATTTTAGTAAAGATAAACTTGAAAACAAAATTAAACTCGGAACTCAATTAATAGTTGGGCTATGGTCTCATAATGGTCAAAAAAACCTACCTATGTATAAATCTAAAAATTCAGAACAAAAATAGTTTGACAAAAAAGATGAATTTAAGTAGTTAGTATTTAACTGAAGCTTCAGCTTAAAAACGAACGACAAAATTAAATTAAACGTGAAAGAAATTGAATATACTTACATATATAAACCTTAAAATTACAACCTTAAAACACAAATTTTGTTTAATAATTGTATGTAAACTTTGTGTATTGTAAAATTTTAAATTGTAATAAAACAAAGAAATAAAAATTAATTTAAAATCAAAAACAGCATGGAAAAGCGTCATTTGCTACAAAAATAAAAACAAGCACTTATCCTCCCAAAATAACCACCTGCTGATCATGGTTGTAAAAATATATACTAAAAATGTGTGTAAATGCTCATCAGCCAAACAATTTGTCGATCAATACGAGTGCTTTCTTTCGCTATTTTTAAATGAAAAGCTAAGGAGGAACTGCATTCTGACCATTTACTTTAGGGAGAAAGTATAGCGAAAATATTTATGGGGAGAAGATGGGGGGTTTTTTAGTGTGTTTGCGTCTTTATACGCAGAAAAATGAATGAACGGCGCTACCCGATTTTAAAAATGTTACTTTTAAGGATATGAAATAGGAAAAATATTCCGTTATATCTCTCATACTCTGATTTGGACAAACTAAATGTTATTTGAGATAGCTAGAAAGAGCTAAGTCGAACGACACTAAAATTAAACTTCGGGACTCAATTGATAGCCAAGTTATGGTCTCATAATGGTCAAAAAATGTAAAATAATTTGACTGAGCTCGGTGAGCTTTTTCAAATGACATACATATTGCTTGTCAGAATATGAAGATATGATGGACGTTATATCCCCACGTCATATCTCCGATATCCGAGATATGTATGACGAAACCCCTGTTTTATTAAAGCATGAATGTGGACAACCTTTGCGAACAAAGAAGAAACTTTGAAAACCTTCCAGGAATTCCTATAAACTCAAATTCCCATCATTGTTCATTTCCTTTTTCCCTTCCCATGAATTCATGACAGGAAAGTCTCTCAGGGAAAGAGTCTCACCTAAAGCTACGTCATTTAAATTCCGTCCTCGTATTCTAGTTCTGAATTTTCCTTCCAAATAAAGGGAAATTTCTCATGTAGATGAAGACGAAGAAAAGGAATTTAAATATAATTTAAGTAAAATATAGTTTTTCAATAAAAATTACTTAACCGGATTGATCAATAAAAGATAAAAAATAAAAAGAAAATGAAGCAAAACACTAAAACAAAAATTTTTAGAATAATAAAAAACAGTTGGCTTTTTTAATAATTTTTTTAAAAACAGTTGGCAATTGTGTTGTTTTTATTATCTATCACTCCTTTTTAAAGTGGGGGCGAAACAAAGAGAAGTTGCCCCTTAAATTCCTTTTATGTTTTTGAATGATTTTTTGGATTGATAGGCAATTTATTGGTTGTTAGCTCTATTGTAGCTTGATTTGTATTATTTTAACAATAAATTATAAGGATTTTTAAATTTTTCCGAAAATTTTTTTTTCAAAAAAACCCTTCATGTCTTAACATAACCGATTTATAAAGTAAAAGTTTAATTTACAAATTTAAAGGTTTAGTGTTTCTTTAAAGGTAAATAATGTACATGTCACCAGGCTTGGTAATGGATACGGATAATATCCGGAGATCCGCGGATATATCCGGATACAGATACCAAAATCCATTACCAAGCTTGTATGTCACTGACCAAATTACACTTTTGGCAAATTGAATTTGACCGGCCGAATTGAATTTGGCCGTCCAAATTACATTTTAGGGCAAATCGAATTTTGCCGGCCGAATTAAATTTTGCCGGCCGAATTCGATTTGTCCTAAAATGTAATTTTGACGGTGACACATAAATATTCAAAAAACCAAAAATTTTATTTTCCAAAAAAATTTTCTTCGGCTTCCTCCTCCTTCATTAATTATTTTTCAATTCTTTATAAGTAAGGTCATTCAAACGTCGACGTATTTGAACATCACCTTTATCATTTTCTCGTTTTCCATCTTCCCATCCATTAAATAAATTAATTATTTGTCGATCAAGAAAATATTCGAGAAGGAAAAAACTAACAACTAAAAAGATGAAGACAATACCTTTTGTCCAAGTTTGTCTGTCGAATTCTTTGAAGGGAGGGGGAATATTGGGCATTATTTTTAAATTAATTAATTTTAAATTTTGTTAAAAATATTTTTTTGGATATTTTAGTTGGGGGCTTTAATTTATATTTTTGTGGGTAGGGTAAATGTTTATGTATGTGTGTGTCGAGTGATTTTATATTTAAAATTCTACATAGGTTATTTAAAAAAGATGATTCATCTGGCTATTTAATTTACTATCTAATTTTAATATCTAAACTAGACCCTTTAGAATACTATTTATAAATATCAGTTTAATTAAATAAGACTATATCAATTAAATACCAAACTTCTACAAATGAAATAAATATACAGTCGGAGATATATTAGAGGGTATCTCTTTGGCACTCCCCGGACCAATTGCCAATTAAATTTCAAAAGAGTATATACCAAATTGAGGTCGAGGGATATTTTGGTTATCTCCTTGTATAACAAGCAGGGCCGGGCGCAATTTTAATTTTAAAATCCGCAGCCGCAATATGCAATTGCGCCCAGCCCTGATAACAAGGCCCATGGCGTGGTCAGCTGGTGACCACAAAGTTTCCCATAGCCTCACACTGGGGTTGATATGAATAACTGCTTAATTGCCCTATGTATCAGGGATGGAGAATTTTGAATTTTAAAAAGCGGAAGGTGGAACGAGGAAGCGGATCCAGCCCCTGCGTATGTATGCCCTTCGTTAAAATTGTGGCTATTTCCGATTATAGCGAAATTTATCAAAATATTAAAAGAAAAATTTGTGTTTTGCTTAAATATTCTTTTCTTTTTTTCTTTTTAAATTTTGTTTCCTTCTGATTAATTAATTTTATTTTTAATTAAACGGCCAACTCTAATTTTTAATTTTTCATAAATATAATTAAATAAAAATTCATCAATTTTCTTCTTTACCAATTCCTTTGTTTTTTCCTCATATTTTTTATTTAATTCCATACAAAAACATTCCTCGGGTATTTTACTACATTCATTAAAAATTTCAAATAAATCCATTAAAATCTCCAAATCTTCCCATTTTGTATTTAAATATTCGAAAGTAAACATTGATTCGAGTAATTCAATTAATGCAAGAAAATTGAGAAAAATGTTAATTTTGTTTACAACAATATCAGAATTGTAGACATTAACTCTATTTTTATCTAAATTTTTAAAAAATTTATTTATTTAGTAGTATTTATTTATTTATTTATTTACGTCAAAATGACGCGAAGGTCAAAAATAAAATTACAATTCACAACAATGCAACAAAATAAAAATATAAAATTCGAAATAATAAAATTTATAAATTAAATGGAATGTTTTATTTGAGAGTAAATATAAAATCCGTGAAAACTAGTGTTTTGTAATAAGGTGTGGTAATGCTAATCGTAAATGGCCTAACAGATCAAAATTTATTATAATCTTTCTAAAATTAGAGGGTGTATTTTTTCTAATTACAATGGGTAGTGAATTATAAAGCCTAGAAGTCCTAATAAAGTAGGAATTATATCTGATCATGGATGAGCAATTCGGAATAGTTAATTTGTATTCTTCCCCACGTGTCCTAGATTGTTTAAAGTGAATTATACTATTATTGTTATTAATTTTAATTTCAC